GATCTTGAGACTTGGTGCTCCTGAGGGGCATCCTGGGGAAAGAGTAACGGGAAGGTACTCTAAAGGTCTGACCTTGGAGTGATCCCAAGGAAGCGAGGCTTTATTCTGGATTACTGACTAGAAACTAGGGTAATTCTGTGACTAAGTCTTAAAGCCCCTACGAAGAGTGCAGATTAGGGCAAAGTTCCCTCTGTCACTGAAGAGCAGCAGATAGGCATTGGGGAATATTGTGGGTTGGACCATAGTTCTTTGTTCAGATGAAGTAACTAAATGGCTGTGCTTTTGTTTGGATCCATCATGATTATGTGTCCATGCATGATCATGCCTGATGTTGATTCCCTACAAAATCATTTAAGACAGGACACCCACACCTAGCTGTAGGTGTCAGCTCGGATCCCATGTGTGAGGGCCTAAAAAACATGGGGTTGGAGGAACACAATGTTTTCCCTTTCTAGTCTCGCATTCAGCTACCAACACAGAATACTTTTGTGATCAGATACGGAGGGCTTCCCTCCCAACAAGAAAAATGGTCAGTTCTATAGTGATGCAAGCTCAATTACCCACAATTCCACTGTATCATGACACTGTCTGCCAGGGAAAAGCATTAGAGCCCACAAGCCAACCCCCAAGCCCCAAAGTTTGCTGGCAGTCACAAGCTCCGGTTGTTGTGCCCATGCTTCTCATCTATTGACTATACACTGGAGTTCCCACAACCTGCCCTTTGGTTCCACTGATGTTCTAATCCAGGAAATGTGTTTACCAGTTTATAGTAAACAGTATTATAAAGGACACCAGTAAAGAGCAACGGATTATGCAGGAAAGTGTGGGTAGTCCCAGGTGTAAGAGTCCCTTGCTGCGCTGCTGACATCCATGGCCTTCTGGACAGGTGGATGGACCCTTCCTCACCTTCCCAGGAGCCCGTGAACCCAGTCCTTCAGGGATTTTCCTGGAGTGGTCTTTATGAAGACATGATTAACTAGGTCCTTGGTCCCTGGTGACCAGTGAAACCTTTAGGGGTGGGGACAGGGGCTGGGAGTTCCCAGCCCTCTGAGCAGGTGGTTGGTTACCCTGGCAACCAGGCCTCCTATAGTGGGGTTATTTGGTGACTTTTCCAAAATGACCTCATTAACATAAATTCCTGTGGGCGTGGAAAAGAGTATGTCTTAAGTAAAGGAGGGCCGCCTTGTTCCTTTGTAGTTCTGGACCTGTCCAAGCAGCTTCAGGATTCAAGGACAGAGATGCTTTTCCTGCGCTAACCACTTAGATTGTCAGCATTGTAGAGGCTGTAAATCTGGAACCTAGGACACAACAGAAAGTGCATGTGTCACTCAGGGGCCTCTGTCCCTCCTCTTGGTCTTCACCACTCAGAACTCTTCACACTGGGCCCTTGCCTCCCTGAACAATCCTGTGCTGCGAGCCCATGTGGCTGATGGTCAGCAGCCCTAGGTTCTCATAACTACAGAGTGATGCTCTGTGATGAGGGCTACTTTCCTCATGTGCCTGAGCCCTGGATCCACTCCCTACCCTGGTTTCTGGTGTCTCCTTTCTTATCTGCTCCCCTGGATGGGCTTCACTGCCGCTGCTTTCCTCCCACGCTCCTGAACACTAAGAGCAGAAAAACCACAAATGTGTTTTCTGGCCTCAGCGCTCACGAAGCTGCAGGGCAATCCTCCTCCTCATAAGTGGCTTGCTCCCTGCCACATCCCTGAGGTCACCTTTCCAGTAACATCTTTAGGCTCCCAGCCTGGCCGGCCTCTCCTCCAGAAGCTGCCTGAGCAGCAGTGTGCTGAGAAGCCATTACCTATGACTCCTTTAGCTCCCTTCTTTCTGCTTCACTGAGCCAGTGGATTCTCTCTAAAAGGAAGAAGTCTCTTCCTTAGCCTGAGCCTATGTTTGTACTGTTCCTAGGCTGCCTCTTGGGCAGCAGCACAGGTCTTCCAGCAGCTCTAGCCCTGCACATTGGAATTCTCTGGTTACATTCTCTCCCTCTTCCCTTTCCTCCCTCCCTTCCTCCTTCTCTCCTCCTTCCTTCCTTCCTTCCTTCCTTCCTTCCTTCCTTCCTTCCCTCCCACCCTCCTTGCTTTCCTCCCTGCTTCCTACCCTCCCTCCCTCCCTCCCTTCCTGTTTCCTCCCCTCTGCCTCCTCCACCTATGGGTTAAATACAGCAGCTTAGGAGCTTCTCTGACACTAAGCTGTGGCCGAGGCCCTTTCAGAGCTACAGTTAGTGTTTGGTAAGAGCCCCAGGTTGGCCTGAACAGGGTCCTCCTGCCTCAGCTTCCAGAATACCTGCCCTAGCTTCTTCTTACCTCTTGCCCCAAAGTGATGGCAGCAGCTTTTTCCTTAGGTTTGTCAGTTTGACCTTCAGGGTGGCAGGCTCTCCGCTGGACCCCAACACTGTCCTCCGCTTTTCTTTCTGGCTTCCTGGCTCTGCCCTTCATGGCCACTGAGTACATTCCCAGATGGAACCCTCTTCACCTTTTACTCTATTTTCCCATCAAGTCTCATTTCATAGTTTCCCCACTTTTCACTTCCCCTTGACTTTATCAACTACCCAAATTTAATTTCTTTCTGTCCTTGGCCTTTGTGCAGAAAACTTTGTTTTGCCTCTAATTCCTGGTAAAGATCTACAGTTGTCTGTCTGTCTGTCTGTCAATACTCAAACACCAGCCATTTGATCTGAATCCTCCTTTCTCTGTCCCATTTAACAGCATTCTCAGCCTCTCAGGCCACTTATCTGTGACCGCCAACCCCTGCCCCCGGCCTCCGCTTGCCTGGTCCCCTGCCCTTGGCATCACCTCCAGGCTGTACTTCCATTGGCATGGTACCAGTTACCTTGGTTCAGCGCAGAGCTTGCCTTACTCATCTCTGCTTGCTACTTCCTGTCCAGCAGGTGTCCTATCCAAAGGAGGCCCTCATTATTTGCTACAGAAATGACTGTCAATTAGGAGTTTTAATGCTTTATTTCAAGGTCAATCTGTCATTGGACACATTTTCCATCATTAGTCCTAATACTTCTACCCTAGCAAGTACTAAGATAAAATTTCATACCCCAGCCTCAGTGGTGTTGATTTCTCTTTTTGAGGAAGAGAAATTGGGGACAAGTTGCAGTAATTCACATCTCTCCTGGCTCACTGACTCTTCTGCTTCTTCTCTTGTAAAATGGAACCCATTACAATGGCATTCAATGTATATCAACCCGATTCAGCTTCCTCCTGCCCCGTAAGGTCGGACTGCCCGTGCACAGCTGTGTGCTGCACATGGCTGACACAGACGGTAGAGGAGCCCTGCCCTCTATGTGCATGTGTACAGCAGCAGTTAACAACACCAACATCACATGCGTGTGGGGTGGGAAACGCTTCGGAGCACAGCTCCTCGTCCAGTGCTGTCGGCTGACGAGGAAGCCAGGGAAGACCTTATCTTTTCACATATGCTCTTCCACATACTAGAATTATTTGTCTGATTCAACGTGTCTCCTCCCAGCTCTCTTCTGCCCTCCCGCCCTCTTTGGCCTGTATATGCTCCTCTCTCCATCCACTTCAGCTCACTTCAGCGGCGTGGATAACAAAAGAACTGCTTTGGAGAAATGAAAGACAGCAATTGCACATTGGTATTCCTGCTACAGGAGTCGCTCCGGCCTCCTTGGGGAGCTCAGCAATGAATATCCTGCATTAATTGCCACAGACATCATGTGTCTGACCTTGCTGAAACATGATACATCAGTTCTACAAAGCAAAATTATTTGTCAGGAAGAGATTTAAAAAGAATGATCATACAATTCTATTGCTGTTTAGAATGACCGATATTATATGTCTTTATGAAAATCCAGGAGGACTTACATTTTCTTAGAAATATTTGAGGCACAGTCTTATTTGCTGGGGTGATTTGCTGATTTGCTTAGCAGTTATAATGCTATTGCTGTCTTTCTAGTCTTTAAAAAAAGAGAATAAAACACATTGATTAGTGCTGGGTCTATAGAAGCAGTTATAAGGTGAATGGACATGGCACCTGGTGTCCACCAGGAAGGCAGGCTGTCCTTCTTTGTGTCTGCACCTACTGTGGGTGGGCTCTGGGCAGGAGCAGAAGCCTCCAGCACAGGTTCCCTTTGCAAAGAGTTAACATCATCTTCAGGAGGTAACCACGTTGCTCTCAGCTTGTCTGATCTCTCTGTGCAAGTCATCAGCAACATGGAAGTGGATTCCTCGGTGCCTCTTACAGGTCTTTTTTTCTGGCTGTCTCCCTCTGGCTGGGTACTGCATGTCGGGAGAGTTTTACAGCAAATGCCCTGAAAGCTTGCATGGCTTAGACTTGTGTCCATACTGCTGGATCAGCAGGGACTGTCCCCTGAGCGAGCCAGGTCAGATGGCCACAGTGGCTCTGCTGGGTGAGAGCTGTGTGTGCAGAAATGAATGATGGTTAAGCTTCTCGCCTTTTTAAAAGGTCAGGATGAAGGAAGTCAGTGCAGTGGCCCATGACACAGGAATCGCAGCCCAGCAGAGATCCTGAGGAGAGATCCATTTTGGCTTGTGCTCTGGGCAAAGAAGTACCTGATAAATTCGAGATTCCAGCTCCTGGGTGTGGAGGGTGCGCGGGTGGAGGAGTCACAGTGACCGGTGGCAGCCCTTTGCCCACGTTCTAAAGCAAGTCTCTCATGGTCTTCGTGTGTAATCTAAGGTGTGGTGTCATTTCACAGCAGGAACAAGACAATAGCACAGATGCAGGGAGTGTGCTGTACGTTTAAACCTTAAACTTTTTAACTCTCTAAATTAGATTGTCCCCGGGGGTAGTTTTAAAAATAAACTCACGCACACAGTTTGCTTGGGCATCTTACTCTCTAAGGCTTTCTGTGTAAGCCTGGAGTCTGTACTCTGTACTGTCAGGTGCCTGCTCACGCTCCCGATTTATTCCAGATCTTTAAAGAAGATGGTGAAGCTGGCTGGCTTCTCTTTAATTTTCTCTTCCCCTTTCCTTCTCTCATCCATCACTCTGATCTACAATTAAAGCAAGATGACGACGTGCCGATGGTTCAGGTTAAAGAGCAAGGCCGGAGCGTGTTGGTGCTGAAGAAGGCGGCAGGCTGTGGCCCAGCCCCCAACTCCGGGAGCGCGGAGAGCGAGGCGAGGTGAGAGTCCATAGCCGGCGCGCCGGCTCCCTTCCTGTCCCGCTGCCTCTCCCTCGCTCGCTCTGCCGCCTGCCCTCCCTCCCCCCCGCCTCCCTCTTTCTCTCCGCCTCTCCTCTCCGGCGCTCTGGCTGACTGCAGAGCTCGCAGCAGCCAGATGGACCCGGCTCCCACAGAAAGGATAGGGATGGCAAGCTCCCTTAGCCTTTAGGGGATGCCTTTGTTAGGCGCCGAGCACAATGGGCAGCTCCCGCCTGCGGGTCTTTGACCCGCACCTGGAGAGGAAGGATGCCGGGGCGCTGTCGGAGCGCCGGCCGCCCCTGCCCACCTTCGATGTGCCTTATTTCAAATACATCGACGAGGAAGACGAGGACGACGAATGGAGCAGCCGCTCACAGTCCTCCACCGAGGATGACTCAGTGGACTCTCTGCTCTCTGACAGATACGTGGTGGTGTCCGGCACGCCGGAGAAGATCTTGGAGCACCTTTTGAATGACTTGCACCTGGCCGAGGTCCAGCACAAAGAAACAGGTAAGCCGAGTGTGGGGGCGTGGGGGCTGGAGGGGTCCCGGCTTCGAGGCAGCCGCGGTGATGCTCCGCCGTCGCCCCAGGGGCGAGGCTCCCGCTGCCTGGGAAACCAGGACGGGCTGGGCGGCACGGGCTTTGTGTGGCTACCCCCGCGCCGGAGCTGTTTGTTTCAATCCAGTAAATGAACACATGCAGTTCTTGAGCGGCTGCCTGGGAAGTCGCCGTGAAGAAAAGGAGGTGAAGGCAGATGTGTCTACTGTAATTTTTCCCCCAAATCTCATGTAAAGCCCCTTGGCAAGAAGCCAGTATTCAACAACCCCTGTGCTTTGGAAAGCAGCACCAGGGGAGGGCCGCGAACCGGCTCTCACCTGGGCCGTAGAAGTGCTGGGTGAGTCGGCTCTGCTTCCCTGCCCGGACTGCTAGCCCTCGGCTGCAGCAGCAACTTCTGCCCTTTCCAAGTGGCTACAAACTGTTTGACCCCGTAAGGGCTGGAGTGCCCCGTGTGACACAGCAACTCTGACCCGGAGTCAAAGCCTCAGATGTCTTAAACATTTTCTTCAGCTGAAAACAAAATAGCATCCAGCTCCTAGCTTTGCGCACCTTTGGAAACACTGTTACTCTCTTAGAGCTGACTGAGCGGTAATTTCTCCTGCAGTGCCTGCTCCTCTTAGCCAGCGTTTGTAATCGGTTTCAGCCTAGCGCAGTTGTCCCCATGACCAGAATTCTGACAGCGGCCTGAAGTTTGCCACCTGACATGATAACTGCTGTCTATTCTGTGGCTGCAAACGGCTCCCCTACAGCGTGGGGTGTGGGGACTGCGTCCAGAAGAGGCAGCGCCAGATTGGATTAGGGCAGGGTAGCTGCTTGGGTTTTACCACACAGACTGAAACACCAGCTTGGGAGCCAATTTCCTAGTGCCCCAGTAGTTTAGTCTGACTAGGAGTGGTGTTTGGCTCTGCAGTGCTTTACAAAGGACAGTAAGAGAAAGCAGTGATGTGTGAGATGTGTGGATAGGTTTAACAAAAGGCTGCATGACCCAACTATGTACGTATAATACCATTGTTTAGTTTAAAAGTCCAGGTGCTTTATTTTGCATACATTCGGGAAGGAATAAGTTTATTGCTTGTACACACAAATGAAGCTATTCTTGGGAAAATTAAAGTACATCCTGGCATCCACTGGATTGTTTTGTATGTCAGCAAATTCTCGCTGTGCCTTTGAGCAACAGTCCAGTGCTCTCCTTGGAGACGTATACTGCCACAGGCTTCTGAGAGTGGAACCAGGCAACTTGTCTGTCACAGGAAGGGCAGGGCTCCTTAGGCATGGCAGAGCAGTGGGGGGCTGGGATGGGTTCTGGGTTTTACCTCCTAAGCATTAGAAATTACCTAACAGTAATTTGTTGACCTTTCACTCAGTCTGTGTAATCCTTTATCTTACTCTCCTGTGCTTCTGGAGACGGAACCCAGGGCCTCCAACAAGCTACAAGTGCTGCCCTGCTGAGCGACACCTGTGGCCATGGCCGCACCACGGCTCAGTGCTGGACCCTGGAAATGGCCTGTCCCCTTCCTGTCTATAATGCCAGACGCTGCCTCATCTTTGCAGTGGGCTTTCCATGTGATCTAGTGGCTTTTAGTTCTGCTTGCTTCTCAGTTACTCTGACCATAGGGTCAACTACGCTGCTTCAGACAAACACACAAAAGGAAAGAGGACTGGCACTCACTGGCTCTAGCCCTGTCGTGGTTCAGGCGGGGCCTGTCTGGCTCAGCCTTGTCTGAGTTCTTGCTCACTTATTCAGAGTTTCAGTGAAGGACACATGGACTTTTTCAGAGTTTTGTAAAGACATTTGAAAAGTAGACAGTAGTAACCTTTGCTCTCATCAAAGGAGAACTTTATGAAAATGAAAAAGCCAACTTTTAAGAAAGGATGGATGGATGTATATGAGGGAATCATGGGAAAATGGCGTGGCTCTTTGAGACTTCAGGGAAGGAGCTGCCACATGTTTTTTTGTTGATAAGCTTTAAAGATATAAATATAAAGTAAAAATATTCAAATTGAAGGGAAGGGTTATAGTTTGCTCCAGCTTGAATACTAAATGAACTGGATTTGTACAGTAATGGGGAGCCTCGTACTAGCCTCTTATGTATGGGAGCCTAACAGGGTGCAGAAGCACGTGGCAGACGGGGGGAGGGACGAGGGGATGAGAAGGGGCAACAACAGTATACAGCAGCGATCCTGGGTCTCTCTTACTGAGGTGGAGCCATCTGGGGCCATGCTGCCCTCTCCTAGCCCCTACACGTGGCCTGGGCGTCTCTCAGGAGGAGGGCGGCATGGGAAGAGAGATGGAAGTCCCTGGGAGCCTGGCTTAGCTGTTCTGACATTCCTTCAGTCCCGTGTCCCCCAGAGGCCGAAGAACAACCAAACCAGACATGTTTCAAACGTTTCTCCCAGGAGATGCTTACCTGTGGAAGCGTGTGTACAACCCCAGCAAAGGAGGCCCTATGATCCCAGAGTGGCTTGATTCCCCACCGTGTTAACACTGAAGTGAAGGCGTTGACTGAGTTGACAGAGTAGAAGGGAGAGTGCCACGGCTCTGGGAGAAGCTTTTATTTCTGTTGCTACTTGAATCAAGAACACAACAGCAACAGTTCATGCAATATTCTAGCACCAAATCAAGCTGAGTTTAAATCGTAATTTTAGAGACGCTTAAAGGCTGCTAATGATTTTTCTGAATAATTTGATCCTCACACAGTCGCCAGAGTGATCTTATGTTGCTGCCTCTCTTTCCTATATGGTGACACCAGACGTAGGCGTCACCTTGGGAGGTGAGTGGAACGAATGGGTGAGTGAGGAGTGAACGCATGACTAAAGGAACTGGTGAGTGAACGAAGGGATTTGGTTTTATACTTTTATCAAAGAAGAGCGAGGAAGCTGGTGGGAACAGGCCAACCTTTGGGTACCGAGTCTTCCTCTGCAGGCAGCTTTGAAATCTTCGTCACTCAACGATAAATTCTTTTACCAGTTATTGTCAGTACACCCAAATAGCAGTAGCAGTGAAAGCCACTGACACATAACTTTTAACATTTTTTTTTCTTTTTCAGATAGTTCTTCATTATTTTAAATAGAAAAAAGCTGGATGTAGCAATTGCATATTTGTGCTTGTGAGAAGTGATTGAAGCTGTTTTCAAAGATTTTCTTTCACAGTTCGGGTTCTGACTTGAAACATTCAGAAATGTTAGAGAAAAATTCAGCAATCTCTGCAGCTCCACCTTTCATCTGCCCAGAAATAGGGCAGACATCACTGGGCATTCCCAGCCTGGGAATTACAGAGAAAGGAGGGAAGGCAAGGAGCTCTGACTGGAGGGGCTGGGGAAGGGGAGGGGAGGGGAGGGGAGGGGAGAAAGGAGAGGTAGAGGGCAGGTGTGAGTGCCCTGCTCTGCACAGGGGTGCGGTTTCTACTTAACCCTTTCCCTCCTGTAGAGAACAAGGTTGGCCTGCAGGTGCCTCTGAAGAAACTAATGATTTCTATTTCAGAGCAAGGGAGAAACTGTCTAATGATTTACTTCCAATTTCTTTATCTTTATTTCCTAATTCCTTACACATCCTTTTGAACAAAGTGTGCTTCTGATGACAGGTTTCTCAGGAAAAGCAAACTAATAAAGAAGCCTACCTTGGTTCTCATTAGGCCTGACCTGGTTTCTTTAGGCTGTAGCTGCTTCTCCTTTTAGTTGATGAGGCTCTCTGTCTGGTCTGTGTGTTCTGCTAGTGCGCCTGCCTTGACCATCACACTGCTCCTCCATGCTGATGGCTGTAGGCCCCGCATGGTAGGTAAAGCCTGAGTGAGTCCCTTCCTGTTCTGCAGAGGCCTCTGTAAAAGCATAGTGGGGGCGGGGTCAAGGTGTTGAGCATGAATGTCCTTGGTGGTGACCCAGGGCGGAAGCTGTCAACCTGTGGACCACAACCCTCTTTGGGGATTGAATGACCCTTTCGCAGGGGTCACCTAAAACCACCAGAAAACACAGATATTTGCATTGTGACTCACAATAGCAGCAGAATTACAGTTATGAGGTAGCAATGAAAATAAATTTATGGTTGAGGGTCAGCACAGCTTAAGGACTGTATAAAAGGCCGCAGTGTCAGGAAGGTTTAGAATCACTGGCCTAAGGGCTTTGCTGAATGCTGTGCTGATACTGTCCTGATTAAATGAGGGCAGGGTCCTTGTTTTCTGTTCAATTTTGCCAGCACCAAGTTCATAGTGACCTTGAAATGTGATTTTTATAGAGGAATGGAAAGAATGCTGGTCGGAAAGATAGAACTACTTCTTCCTGGCTGAACTTGCCTTCCCTACCCAGTTCACCAGCCATAAGCCTGGCACAGACCCTGTTCTGGCTAACCTTTGTGTGGGTAGAGAGAGAATCCAGTCTAGCAGGCCAACAGTGAGCCTGGAGCAGCCCCTGTTCCAGCTAAGCTTTGTGAGGGTTGTTTCGTCTTTCCGTGATTCTATGTACTTGGTATGTACGTGAACTTACTTTGATGTTGCTTTCTTTGTAGTTTGTGTCGGTTTTTCTGCTGAAGAGGGAACTCACGCTGTTGTACTTGGTAGGCAAGGCACCTACGTTTGCAATGTCATGTGACAAAGTGGCCAGCGCAGTTTATCTGCAGCTCTGCATGAGCCCCAGAGCTTGCTCTAACAAACGTCCGTGCTCAATCACTGCAATTCAGTGGCTGGAGTTAGGGTGCCCTCTCACCCAGGCCTTAGCAGCCCCCAGCGGGTGGTAACGGGTGACTAGGTTTGCAAGCTTCTGAAGTACAACACTGACTGTTTCTGTCCCTCTGCCATTTCTGTGAGAGCCTTTTAAAGGTCTGTTCTCTGCCTTCAACCCTTGCCTGTAAGAGGGAAGGCCACTGTTCCCTCTTCAGCTTTCTGGCTGCCCCTTGCCAGGGCTTCGTGTGTCTAACGTAGCGGCCACGGACCTCTACATCTAGCATATACAGTCCAGCATGTT